CCCCGCCCCGCCTCGCCGCGCTCGCGAAGGACTTTCCACTTAATTGCGCGGGTCTAACGAGGCTTTCCTTGTGTATGACACATTCGGTCGGTTGAAAAAGGCACCGAGAGAAAAGAAAGGCGAAAAAAGAAGCAGGAATGTGTGCTTCAACGTACAAGAGCGGGCATTCATCGGAGTCGCGAACTGCAGAAAGGGTGGGGAAGACGGCGGAAAGACAAAGCCTCTTGTGGCGGAGGCGGTGGGGGCGGCGGCGGCGGGGGACGGACGGCCCAAACTGCAGCCAAGGGCGACAACTTTCTCGGCTGCGGGCCGGGGATCCGACGAGCCGTGGCTTGCAGCGGGCCTTTGGAGCTGGCGAGCGTCAGATAGGCGGCTGGACCTTCGGGGCTCGCACAGGTGGCAATGTCCAATGAGATCCGCCTCTTTCGCCTTCAGATTCTTCAGAAAATGAGGGCAAATGAAATGGCAGAATATTCGCGAAAGGTCTTACGAGCGGTGCTCTTCTATCTTGTGACCAAGACTGTCAAGAGAACGTTGCTCCATTTTATATCAGATATTCTTCGAAAGCAGAATGAAGTCAAATTAATAAAAATTGTAAAATTTATTTAGTATTAAATTCTAGTTTAATTTCGTAGGTAAATGAAGATGACAATGTACGAATGAAGGAATATGTGAGCTTCTCGTGAGACATTAATTCAAAATTAAACTAAGAAATTACAACCTCCTTGCCATGTAAACCTCTCGAAAAATGCTTTGACTTGCTCTTCTTCGCTGTAGTAATATTCCTAGAATAACATGTTCATATTCTGTCATCTCTATTATTAGAATTCGCAGGATGTTGCGAGAAAATGTGATACCGACCAACACGCACATTACAACCTATTGAAGTCACTGCATGAATAACTCTTCTTGCTTCCCCTTCGGTAATATTGATGAAGATTCAGGCGAAGAAAAAGAATATGCCTTTATCGTTTCTCTTACTCTATTGGCTATTCTTAGAATTGTAAATATGAAATTTTACTGTACAATTAAGGAAGAGCGGTTCTTTTAACCAAAATTACTACTTCTATAACAATTGATGCAATGGATTAGATAGAATGCTAGAACCAGTTGCTTTTGAAATAATAATTTATTATATATAAATAAACAATTGTACATGAGAAAGTAAAATTTAAGTAATTATTTGTAATTAATTTAAAGAAGAGTATTGAAATCTTGCTCTAGAAAACAATGTTTGATATTAAATTTAGTACCTCGAATGATTATTTATGTTCATGTGTTGGTTATAGTAATGCATGCCAGTTCTCCGTCACCAACCCTTTTCTTTGTTTCTGCGTTGGATATCAATCCACATTCGTCGCATCGAAAGTTAATTTATCGTCAAGTAGTTGTGGTTGTACGAGTATGTGATACGAAATTTTAAGTTAACGCGGGTTTGGATCGTGCCGTGATCGCTCGCCAAAACTTACTAACTAAAAAGACTTAATAATCTATGGTGCCACTCATTGATAAATATCTCAGTATGGCACGAGATTCAGCAATTTCTTGAAAGCAATCCTCTCAACAGATTTAAATAATGCTCTTGTCATTAAGACACCAACACATAACATGATAAACCCACTACAATCTAAAATATCTTCAAGTTCCTTTCCAGCTCTTCTCCAAACCAGATCAACTAGCAGGCACCCAGAGACGGGTTTCTCTTATCTGAAGCTTCAAGAAGCCTCGAGGGAAGACTGATGAAGATTAAAAGCTCGGGAAGAATAGCCTCGAGTCGTTCTGAGAAGGGGACGAAGAACAAAGAAGTTGGCGAGAGGAAGGCTTGCGTTAACATATTGAGACGTGGTAGGTTAATTAGATGGCGGAGAATACGGGAGTAAATAGCTGCCGAGCCCTCCCGAGAAGAAGGGAATGAGCAGGCGGCGGGGGCCTCGAAGGTTAGCGGCGAGGAGACTGCGAGGGTGAGCAGCTACAAAAGCGAGTCCGAGCCGCCTGCAGCTTTGGGTCAGCACGTGACCTTGCGGCGTCTCCAAAAAGGAGAAAGAAGAGAATCTTCGAACCCAGAGCGGAAGTCGAATGGTCGCTTTCAGCAGCGCGCGCTTGGGCTCCGCGCGGACGCATTACCAATGCAGGAAACGTCGAGCGAGCAAAAAATAACATGCAAACTGTTTTCTGAGGAGCCCCACTGTGTGGCGAGGAATACGTGACACGAGGCAACAACAGTTTTCAAACTTATGAAAGCTAATTATTGGACTTTTGTTTTGTTTTTCTGAATCCGTGCGTGGTTTCTTTGTCTAATGTTGTGAGAGGTGTAGTTTGTTACGAAAGTATTCATGTAAGCGAAGAGATGTAGAGGCGAGAAATAATATTCCACTTCAACAAAAAACGGAAATTTCCAAAAACATGGCAATAAAAAAACGTTTCACAACCAAGCGGTCAATTTAATTAGGTCAGTGCGTACCAGGTTAGGCCGCATTAATCAACGTTGACAATAACGATAACTTTATTAAAATGTTAGTACATTAATTATGACGTACTGAAGTCCTACAAACCGGAAACTACGTCCATGTCATCTACGCTGTCTTCACTCACATGCAACAACGACCTAGACATTTTTCCGGATATTTTTCAGGCAATGCATTTTAGAATCAAACTACGTGTAACTATAATATGTGATACTTGAGTGCACAAATTGAATAAAATGATGTGATGGATTACTTGAATGCAGATTTCATTAAGGGTTATATTTAAAGTTTAAAAAATTACACCTTTTTGCGAATAAAGGGGATACAATGAGTTATAAACTCAACGAGATTGCATTGTAATATTTTTCTCATAATTGTCTATTGTACTACTCTTGCAGTTTTCAGTCACAGAACAACAACAAAACCTGGCATGCGGGGAAGCACCTACTCTCAATACAGCTCCCAAACTAAGAGTACTTTTCTACTTCTATGTTTCTCATTATTGTCCACGTCTTCATTCCCACTGTGTCAGTTAAACTCTATCTTTCAGTCTTCGCTCAAAATGCAGCCAGGGACAAGGTCTTCGTGAAGACTGCTTCATGTACATCCCGCAAGCTAATCTCGTGAGAACTGTGGTTCTTGGGATTACTGTGGGCGCCTAGCCGCACCCTCACAATTGAACTCTCTGTGACGTAGTGAAATAAGAAATAAATTTCAATAACAAAATAAAAATAATATATTCACAGATTATGTACAAGTTACAATGAATTGCTAATTTTAAAACACTCCGGCAACCTTTTCCTTTCTGAACACTGCTTTACCGCAGAAAACACAAGCCACGCGTGATGCGCGCCGTCGGACCTCTGTCCCGTGACAATTACCGTCACATGGCGTGACGCCAAAAGTTAACCCGGTCGTGGCGACCGTGTGCCTACAGTACGTGAGATTGTCTGGCCCTTACTCTCCGGACATCTCGCCCTCACTCCTACACCCTCCTTGTACATACACGTACAAGCTACCCGATGCAAACTGAATGAGAACGCGGGCGCAGATGGCGCCGCGTTAAATAGTTGAGGCTGACACCCCCACCACTGTTCCATAGATAGGCCCGCCGGCTGGCGCGAGGCTCGCAGGCCAGCCTTTGGTTTACGCCCACACACAGAATTCTCAGGTTGGCTCGCCTGCTTCCGGTTGAGGCACGCTAGCTAGCCTCCTCGGAGTTTACAGCCAACGGTATTTTTGTGGCTCTGCGGCTCTACATGAGTCAACCGCCAGAGCGCAAACTCCGGATGTTCAGGCTTAACCCCTTCCTCCCCCGCCGCGTACTTTCACCAACCTAACGGTTCTGGCCCTCGTGTTAACGACGCCACATCTCTTGCTCCCTGAGGTAAAGACCCACGTATTGACCCTAACGCTATCTTCCAGTCTTCTCTCTCAGTACAGCAAGCAACGCAGGTCTTAAGGAAGGCTCCTATTCTCTGAATACACCTAGCAAAATGCATGCTTAATCATCTTTCTAGTATTAATTTCTCATTATTACTGATGACACCAATGGTTATAATTCTGCCCGTCTACTAATCCGACGATGGGTTCTATTCGGTCCCGATTGGCCCAAAGACCCTAGAGGCATAGTTCCGCTAAGCGAAATCTATTACAACAATCTCCCGCGACTTAACAACCAATGTACAGCCTACGTTCACAAAGTAGCAAGGAATGCAGGCCTGAAGGAAGGCTTCTGTCCTCTGAATACACCTCGCAAATTGTGTGTTTATTCATCATTTCTATTTACTTCTACCTTTTACTGGTAGCATTTCTGGTGATTATTGCGCACGCGTTATTGTGCCCGTCTGCTAATCCGTCGATGGATTCGATTCGGTCCCAATTGAACCGACTTGGGCTCCCAGACCCTGCAGGCATAATTCCGCTAAGCGAAATCCACTCCAACTCCACCGTTCTCCTGAGCCTCAACTACTCCAACGTTCTCCTGTGCCTCAACAACCAACGTACAACCTACGTTCAGAACGCAGCGAGGAACGCAGGCCTGATCGCAGCAAGCCTCGGCTCCCAGGCCTGCTAGGCGGGCGGGCGGCGTGGCGCGGCGTGGCGCGGCGCGGCGGGGGTTCCCCTCGAGGCCCCAGTGCCTTGGCCGCGGCCAGCGAAGCCCTGCGGGAGACGGCCGCCGCCGTTCCAATTAAGGCCGCGCCGCAGCTCCCAATTTACAGCTTCGAGTAAGCCACTCCACGTCGTCTTCGTGGCGGGACGGGGCCCTAGCGCCCGGCCCGCCCGCCACCCGGCCCCGCAACCGCCCAACGCGTGTCAGGAAGCTGCCAATAAAGAACGCGACGCGGCTCCGCGGGCTTCGAACCGGCGGGCGCTCACCCGCGAGGGCCAACTTCCGGCGACGCTGGAATCTCGAGACCGGGCTTTCCCACCCTTTTGTTAACGGCTGTGATGGCTCAGGCTCAAAACATTCGTCTATGCAGTGTTTCTGACCACAAAGTTCCAGGTTTTGAGTACCGACCGCAGTGGATTTTCTATCCACTACGTAACTAGGTTGAATTGAACCGTCGTATGAGGAAAAATCTAGGTACCAGCTCCAGCTTGACCAGCTGAACGATAGTTTTCCATAGTTTTTTAGAGCACTATACTAATAAATGGACAACGGTCAGCATGCACTCCTCGTCTTTATACCTTCATCTTCCCTCTCACACGTTTGAGTCGAGTATTATAAAACGTGTGCATTTTACGTCCAACCAAGAATGATCTACTTTCCTTAATATAAAAATTTTAAATTTTATATAACATAAGTATCTATTATCATATTAGGAAATAAATGAAGTATTTTTGAATAAATTTGAACTGTATTAAACTCAGGAAAGATAAAAATGTCACGTAAGTCTAATTTAAGCCCGCGCTTCCATGTAAATGAAGCTAACAAATGCATCTGTGTCGATATTTTAGACAAAATTAACATGTGCATCGCTGCTCTGCTGAATAAGGCTCAATATGTCGCATTGTTGATGGCCCGATCCTCGACTGCCTGGAGGATACGTAGAGAAGTGATCATTCAGATGAGGGTGCTCCTCGAAACTGGGTCGCCAACACTTAGCATTTATTGGGGATAATAACACATTAAACCAGGTAGGAAAGACACATTGCTGGGTTGTCTTCTGTCAGTAACTTAATTACATTCGAATCGTTTTCTACTCATTTCATTTAACTATCATTATAATAAGGTTTGATTCAAAGCCTGCAGCAAAACTCAAGGCTCTCGGAGGGAAAACGTTTAATATTATTTTGGTTATTATTGTGTCTTGTAAATTAAACAATTATGTAAAACACGGAATCAATCACTAATCTCTGTCACCTACACCTGTTTATACGTTTATGAATACATTCTACCTTGGAATTTTTTTCTGATCACACATATAAACGTTTTCACTAATGCATGCCATGTCTCTGGATAAAAACTACATGCGAATATGTTGTCACTTACTTTTGCCCATATTATTTCTTACTTTTCAACCGAGGGCTAATCTCATTTTTATAACCATTGCTTTCAGTAGCCGGCAGTCAAAGCCAATCACTGAGGACAAGCGTAAAAATTCATCTAATATCTCTTTAGTAAGCGATACCTTGCAAAGAACACCCCGGCCGGGCAAGAAATCTATTAGATAATTTTCCTCCCTTGCCTGCTAAGCGTGACGGAGGTTTCCGGAGTGCGACGTAGAAGATGAAAAGATCGAAGAAAAGTGGACTCCGTAATATGGCCGACAACTCGCAAAAACACTGCGGCGCGGCGCGGCGGTCGGCGAAAGCAACCGCAGCTCCCGCAAAACAAGCGAGAAGCTACGCAAAGTTCGGTCGCCACCGCAGGGAAACGCACAGTGGGTCCGCGACGGAAAAACCGAGTGAAAACTAGGAACCGCACTTCCATAAAGAAACGCGCAGTCCGCTGGTTTTTTCAACGTTCCGAGATTTATCGATTTAACTTTCTGGCGCGCTGTTGTGGTACAGGAGAACCCAAGATGCTGGAGAGAAACATTGGAAAGGAAACGAAATCTTGTGGTCAGGGTTTAGGATCACTTTTCCTCTCAGTTTTCGCGCGTTTTGGTTCATTTAAGGCCTTTTGGGCTGCATGTCTTAGAACTCTACAGTTTCTTTAGCATTTCTAGGATTCTGTCTTTGATGTAGTTCATTCCTGAATCCGTAAAGGCTCTAAAATCACCCTCGAGGTTTCGACTTAAAAAAAAATTTTTTTGCTGTTAGTAAGCGAGTAAGAATTGAATGAACGAACAGTAAATAGAACGTCACATACGAGTATTAAATGAATGTAAAATAATTGTTTGTGTAGGTTTGTATATCTCTTGGTATCAAGCATTGCAATCTCTCTGCTACTGTGTTACAAACTACGAATCCATCCCACTTTTATTCACATGATTCTCAGAGATCTCATTAATTCTCTAAGCATCGTAACTTCTTTGTTCTTGGAAGATCGCAGCTTGAAGCAGAAAGAAGCAGCACGGCAAATCTGCCCTATTCCTTGGTCATGGGAAAAGAGAGAACGTATCCCATCATAGAGGGCATGATAGGCGAGAGAGCAGAGCACGAGGCTCCGTGACCTCTTTCCCAAGCGCAACGAGATTATATAGATAGATTTGTGTTAAGAGGTTGGCGGATGCTACAGTCACTAAACGCCACTGTAATGCTTACAAATTGGCTCAAGTTAGCATGCACCAAGTTAGTTATTAAATGCACGTATATTAATCTCTGTTCTATTTTAGTTTCTGCTGTGCTTTGCAGATAGCTCTAAGGCTTGCAAAAGAGATGTTTCTACCATGTATGGATACAATTTTATAATTTTTTGCTTCAGATAATTGAAAATAAGACGCAGCCAAATAACACTCTTTCCGAAGTCCTGATGATTAACGAGTACAAAACTTGCAGTTTGATAAAACAAATTAAATAACATTATTTTTTTAATTTTTAGACAGTTGGATTTAATTATCTCCCTTGAAATACTTTGCATTTCGGAAAGTATGCATTTGTTCCTGTCCACACATATTATACCATCTAGCAAAAATTTTGAATAATAAGTAATGATAGATAAACAAGATGACTTGTCGGGGATTTTATAACATACTTCGCTTCATAAAGACTAGAAAATAGGAAATAATTTGATAAAAAATTAAATATTCATTCAATGAATCGTGAAATCGACACAAAGCACCATTGAAATAATTTAAAGCAGGATCGTGCTAAAAGTATCCTGCAAGATGAGAAAGACAATAGGCAATAGAAAACTTGAGGAGAGAGCATAATGTAGTGACAGCTTTACCTCTTAGCTCTTTCTTCTGAAAGCATTTGCCATGAAGCTATAAACTTTATCAGTAGAGAGAAGGAAAAAACAGAGCCTCTCATTTCACATCGTTTCTACCGTTACAAAGGTAATTTGTTACTGGGTGAAGTGTGAATTATGTGTATGAATGTACATTTGTACATCATTTTTTGTTCTTGTGAAAATGTGATGAGTTGTTGAGAGGGTCAATACTCATACTTTAACTCACTCGTATTCCGCAAAATAAAAATATTTCTTGGATAGATTCAAACCATGGTACAGAGGTAGAAGTTACTAAGATGTATTCTCCCAACGCACATTCCTAAATTCCCTTAATCTCTTCAAGAAACTAGTGGTGCTTCAACCACATACTTTTTAGTATGATTTGTAACTTTTATGGAATTCTAAAATATTGCAGCTCCTTTTCTAATAATTCTTCAGCTATCTCTTTCAAACATTTTTCACCAAACTAACTGTGGCATTTTCGAAAAAATATGTGTCTTTAATTTTTGAAAATCATTTTGCACGAAAATGACATAAAACCATAAAACTATGCATAATATTATTATTAAATTATCTTTATGACAGTATATATTATTTTTTACTATATCATTATGAATTTATTATTTGTATTCAGCAAAATAACAAGAGCTCTTTGCGAGCTAAGGCCTACCAACAGCGCACCAGCCTTGCGGCCACGGGTAAAGGGGTACGTGTGGCTAGCACATAGTCACGCCTACCTATATTCTGGTCTTCTCAACCAGAGAAGTGAATTTTCATAACGTCACACAGCAATATATACTGGGACATTCCAAGAAAAGTGCACTATTAATTTTTGCCCCGACCGGAAATCGAACCGGCGGTTGGGCCGTGCACGCTAACCAACGAGTCACCGAGTGCAATACGAATTATTCTCTTTTTAATTCCTAATTTAATTTCCGAGATGTACATATCGAACAACACTGCATGAGGCCAGAATCATGGACTTCTGAATACATGTAAACACCTCGCGATTCAAATCTAAAATCTCAATAATACTGTTCAGCAAGTTCCGGATTTCTCTTGTATCACCGATAACAACTGACACCACCAGTTTTTTCTACCCCCTTAATAATAATAACAACAATTATTATTATACAAATTATTATTATTACTATTATTATTTTTATCATTTATTCACAGCTCCTATGGAACCAACAGTCGACACAGATTTTTATCAAAGCATAATAACGTCCCTATTTGTTTTTGCTCGCAAAGTGGCCGACTGGGACCACACGTGCTTACACCCTGCATTTACCGGGTCTCAGTAACATTATTTCAGTAGCATGTGCATGTAATTTTTAATATGGGATCAGTTCATTTAGCTAGATCCGATTTTTATCCTCCAGAGTTGTTAGCCCTGGAGGTATAGATGATGAAATGATGATAGTGAGGGGTGAAAGACCAACACTCACATACAGGCGTACACAAATCTACTGGTCGGAGACCGCTACGACACTATTGCATTAACAATCTCGTCCATCTTAATGGCAACTTCAGAATTATTATTATTATTATTATTATTATTATTATTATTATTATTAATTATATTATATTACAGTTATTAAATGCCTCTAGTGTCCACTCTTATTACCGCCCTCCCCCCGCATACTTCCTTACACTCTCAGCAAGAGCAACGCCCCACTTTGGTAGCTGTCGACCTAAACAAACATCATCCAAAGAAATATGACTTCTCCCCCCCCGCCCCAACACAGGCCAACGCACCGGTTTCCTGGCCTCGGGCAAGTAGCTTGGGTCCTAAGCACCTAAGCACCGCTCGGCGGTGATGGATCGCCCAACGCCCGCTGACGGCTGTGAAGACACCGCGCCGCGCCGCGCCGCACCGCGCGTTCCCGCAAGAAATCGCCGGCCTCGAAAAACTAATTGATTTAGGAGCGACGCGCCTCGTGCATCATTACGCGGCCGGGGAAAAAGGTGTCGTAAGCGAGGCGGTCCCGCCGCGCCGCGCCGGCGCTGCGTCCTCGTGCCGAGAAGAAGCGCCGCGCCTTCCGGCCCCGCTCGGCTCCGCTTCTTCAGGCGACTCCGCGGCTGCAGGCGATGCAGTCGAGTGGAAAGAGCTCCGCGGGATGGCGTTCCGTGAGAAGACGTGAGCGAGGGAGCATTTCGGGTTTCCGGGGGGCGACAACTCTTATGGGGGGTGTAGTCCGGTAAGTGTGGTGTATGTTAGAGCTGGAAAGTAGCGGTGATCCTTTCTCCAATTTGAATTTAAAAAAAGGCGGCGAACTAAACGTCGGCTTACGGGCTCTTCCCCTCGAGGGATCTCCTCCAATGGGACATCTCTTCAGTCAAGATAAGCCCCCCATATGTGGGGTGATGTAGTACACGTAAGTGTAAAGAGAGAGGAGAGGAGAATGATGAATAAAAGATCGTGCGCGACTCCTGGTCTGTTTGTAATGATATTGCCTTTGCCCTGATCGGAACAATTACGGAAAACCTCCAATCAGTGCCAAAAGTCCCCTGAAGACAGCGGCTGAATTCTTCCTGGTTAACTAGCTGATGTCGAAAATCCGCCAACGTCAGGACTTGAGCCCTAGGGACTTCCCGCTACAGCGTCTATGGTTGTTTACTCCGAGCCATCTCAGTTTGTAAAATCTGAGGGTCTGCTTCTGCTTTTGCCACTTATGTGACTCCTACGAGCCTGCTGTCATATGTAAGATACGAAATGTGACGACGATTTTATTGTAACGAAGTATTGAACTGAAAAATTGGATTAC